CACTCTCTCTCCATCACATCAATTTTTAGCCGTTTGTATGGAGCATTAAATATAGGTAAAAAAAATAACTAATTGTACAGTTTAGTTGGAAATCACGAGATGAATCTTTTGAGCTTAGTTGGTCCACGATTGAACAATATTTATTCAATAAGACGAAAGTGCTACTATTTATTGGGTTGAAATTTTTTTCAATTTAAACAAGACCCTAGTTCAATGGAAGTCAACAGTTGTACGGATCGAAGGCCCGCTTCCTGCAAATTAAACGGCAAGGGCCACGGTGGCGACCCGCTTGCAGATGGCCTTGAGGAGGCAGAGTGCCCCGTGCGGTGTACTACCCGGCCCAGTTCCCTCAAGTCGTCCACGTAGATGGTTTCCTTGTGTACGTCCTCAAGCCGTCGGTGCTGGTGTTTGGACTAAGGGCGCGTTTAGTTGACGAAAATTTTTGGCTTTGGCTATTATAGTACTTTCATTTATATTTGGTAATTAGTGTCTAATTATGGATTAATTAGGTTTGAAAGTTTCGTCTCGCGATTTCTCACCCAACTGTATAATTAGTTTTTTTTTCGTCTATATTTAGTACTCCATATATATGCTGCAAGATTCGATGAGACTCTTTGAGCTGAAAATTTTTGGGAAGGGCCTAAACTTTGTCCCGGTAGTATCGAACGTTTGGACACCAAATGGGTGGCAGGCCGCAGACCGCATCGGAGACCGAGACCGACCGAACCGGCTGAGGAAAATTTCGAGGGAGCAGGACAGGGCAAACATGGCGGGAAAGTTTGGCGCCATCTATTCCCGCGCCGCCGCCTGCCTATTTAGCCCCCGCCCCCGCCCCCGCTCCCGCCCCCGCAACATCTTCCTCCACTCAACCCCAACTCCTGCCAGATTTCTCCTCTTCTCCCGCTGCCTGCACCCAAGAAGCCTCTCGACCTTAGCCATGGCCGCTTCCAACGGCGCCGCAGCTGCCGCCACCGACTCCGTCCAGGAGCATCCCGCCGCCACCACCGAGTCCGTCCAGGAGCCTCCCCAGAAGATCTCCAAGATCTCCCCCCTGCTCAAGGTGAAGAAGCTCTCCGACAAGGCCGTGCTGCCGTCCCGCGGCTCCGCCCTCGCCGCCGGCTACGACCTCTCGAGGTACGCCCTTCATCTCCGCCCCCTAAATGCCCAAGAAATCCTCAGCGCCGCGCGGATCTGTTGACGGTCTGTTTCTTTGGCTGTTGTTTGTCAGTGCCGTGGAGACTCTGGTGCCGGCGCGTGGCAAGGCGCTGGTGCCGACCGACCTCAGCGTCGCCATCCCCCACGGAACCTACGCGCGCATCGGTGAGCGACATAACCACCGCCCCTCTCCTTTTCCTTCGGTGTCTCGTTTCTCGTTCGGTTTGTTCGCCCCGCGGGTGTTTGACGAAATGCTTGGCTGGTTCTGGTCGCGTTGCAGCGCCGAGGTCCGGGCTGGCGCTGAAGCACTCCATCGACGTGGGCGCCGGCGTGATCGACGCGGACTACCGCGGCCCCGTCGGGGTCATTCTCTTCAACCACTCCGACGCCGACTTCGCCGTGAAGCCCGGCGACAGGATCGCGCAGATGATCATCGAGGTGATCGCGACGCCCGATGTCGCGGAGGTGGAGGACCTCGACGCCACCGTCCGTGGCGAGGGAGGGTTCGGATCCACCGGCGTCTGAAGAACCTTAACGGTTCCTTCCCTCACGAAGGATTGAGTATCTAGATTAGGATGGTGATGGTGATGCAACCTTGGTGTCTTATGTTGGCTGTAAGAACTCGTGATGTTCAAGTCCCACTATCCTGCGACTACTAGTAAGATTAGTACGTCGTCGAAGTTTAGGTTGCGTAGGTAGCTGAATGCAGGTATTATCGAGAACTCAGTTGATTCTGTGATCTTTATTGTGCACCAATCGTGTTGATCGTTTCTGGAGTAACGTGGAATTGCATCCACTTGTCTTTTCCAATCTGAAAAGACGAATTAACTGGAAGTTGACTGTTTCCACGGTTTAACTGCCCGCAGAACTGCAGAATGCATCCATATGTATCCAGAAGTGCTGAGATCTGATTGATAGAAGCAGCTATTATGCTGCAGTATCCTTGTATGATGGGTCGATGCCATAATTCATGCAATTCCTCTCTTGCAGAGGCGAGCGAAATCACCAATAGCCGGCTCAAGTTGGGAATTTGGGATCAGACCATGTCCCCAGTCAAAAGTGACGCATACTGAGGCAGATTGCAACATCACATGAATGGCCTTTCTACGAACTAGTGGCATTCACTCTGTTTTCGCCAAGTACGATACTTAATCTTCGTCCATCGGAAAACGACTAAGGTATATTTTTGAAATTTACCAGATTCCTAATGTCTTTTTGTAAATTACGAAAAGAATTATAAAATAAAAATAAAAAATCACTAGATGTATGGCCACATCATCCTGTTCCAATCCCGGTTCCTATTACAGCATCAAATTGGTCCAGCCTCCCATATCTTGATCAGGAAACACAACCTGACTGAGTTCAGTTTGTTCAGGCTCCCCCTGACCTTCCTCAAAATTTCTTGTCTCTGGCTCCTTGTCGCAACTTTCCTTGATCAAGATTCATCCATGGATCACTCCCTTGTGATTCTTGTTCCTCTTCATCAGTAACCTCTCCATCTTCCTGAAATCACATGTTTTGATTTTTCACTTCATTACTCAGTTTGTCTCCTGCTAGAGACCAAGAGATCCGGCATTACCAAAATTCAGAGACATCTAGGTGCCTCAGCACTCACCGTGTGCTGGTTACAGCAAGGGTAAAATGGGCTTCACATTAAGAAACAAAGGGTTTTCAAAAGAGGCTTACTCCAAGCAAAAACAAGTAAAACCAAAACAAACTTAAACAAGAGCCTACCACTCCACACATGCATTGGTTAGATGAATGCACATATTAGTTTTAGGAAAATAATTCAAAGAGAGAGAAGGTTTACCACGCAGCTTGGTTTGAATTTGAAAGTTAACTCAAATTCAAACTTTGCGCTTAGCTTTTAAAATTAGTTATTTCAACAAAAATAAGTAGGCAAATTAGTTTGGAAAATATTATAAACTTTAAACCAAAATCTCTTCCAAGGTTTTAGTTGGCACCTCTCCTTCCCTCAAGAATCTCCTCAAATAGATGTATAGCTACACGATCATGTTCCAATGTCCCAGTTCTTGTTACAGCATCAAATTGGTCCAGCCCTCCCATACCTTGATCAGGAAACACAACCTACTGAGTTCAGTTCGTCCAGGCTCCCCCTGACTTTCCTCTGAAAATTTCTTGTCTCTGGTTCTTCCTACGGTCTTGGATGACCCAGCTCTTTTTGGCTGGCTCCTTCTTGTTGCAACTTTCCTTGATCCATATTCATCCATGCATCACTCTCGTGATTCTTGTTCCTCTTCATCAGTAGCCTCTCCATCTTCTTCCTGAATTCCCATGTTTTTATTTTGGGAGATTTTGCTGCAGGACACCGCTAAAATGCATAATATGCTGATGGACACCGCCAAGACGAGAATTTGTCCAAAGACACCGCAAATTCGTGGTTCTTTGCCCAGACACACCGCACCGATTATTTTAATCATTTCTCAGATCTGCGGAGAGAGGTGGGTGAAATGACTCTTTTGCCCTTGTCTTCAACCTCCGACCGGTGATTGATTTTTGCTGTAACACATCGCTGCCGCCTTTTCTTCTCCGGTGAGGTCTCGTCCTGCTCTCCAGCACCGGCGAGCCCGACACCACCTCGTGCAACGCCGTTGACTCGCGGCCACCTAGGCATCACGTGGTGGACCGAGACTTCAACAGGTCCATCTTCCTCCTCACTCCATGGCCATGGAAGCCATGGAGGAGCTGCTGCTCACGCGCGTGGGAGGGAGGGGGCTCGGCCGGCTCGCGCCGCCATTTGGTCAGGCAAGACGACAGCAAGAAGCGGCGGCGCTGGGTCACGCGACGGCGTGGGGGTCCCACGCAGCTCACCGGCAGAGACGGCGGTGGGGTCAGGCGGCGTCGGTAGCGTCTTGCGCGATGACGATGGGAGGCCTCTCTACCGAGGGGAGCAAGATTTCCGGCCGGCAAGATGGTAGGTTGGAGCGGCGGCGGCTGGCGTAGCTTGCTTGGCTGCCCGTGTGGGCTCGTTGGCGAGGGCAGTGGTGGTGGGGTCGGGGCGGCGGCGGCGTCATCTCTGCGCGGGCGGGAGGCCAGCGTCGGGTCAACTTGACCAAGCATGCCGTGTTGGCGGCGGCGTGGTGTGGCACGGCTTGATGGCGGATGAGGAAAGGTTGGAGATGGCCGGAGCGAGAGAGGAAGGCGGCGCCGCCCATGGAGTCTGCGGATCTTTGCTCTCGAGACGAGATGCCTAGGTGGCATGAGTCAACGCGGCGTTACCGCGAGGTGGTGTCGGGCTCTGCGGCCGTCTTTGGAGAGCGAGACGAGACCTCACCGGAGAAGAAAAGGCGGCAGCGATGTGTTACAGCAAAAATCAATCACCGGTCGGAGGTTGAAGACAAGGGCAAAAGAGTCATTTCACCCACCTTCTCTCTCCGCAGATCTGAGAAATGATTAAAATAATCGGTGCGGTGTGTCTGGGCAAAGAACCACGAATTTGCGGTGTCTTTGGACAAATTCTCGTCTTGGCGGTGTCCATCAGCATATTATGCATTTTAGCGGTGTCCTGCAGCAAAACCTCCCTTTTATTTTTCACTTTATTACTCGATTTGTCTCCTGCTAGAGACCAGAGATCTGGCATACCAAAATTTAGAGACATCTAGGTGCCTTAGCGCTCTCACCATGGATGGTTACAAGCTTACAGCAAGACCAATCAAATTCATTCAAAAGGACAACCAAAAATGATTCATCAATGGAAATAATACAATTTTACATCATCACAGTGCTCACAACATTACATTACAGGAGTTTAAGCTCCATCTGTTCACATCAGCAACAGACTAATTTTACATGATACAAGCAGGATCAAGGGAATTAAATCTAAGTCACACGCACACAGCACGCAACCTCTGTCGTTTGTGTGGCTTGGGCAACGTGGACGCAATCTTCTCTTTCTTTGGTAGCTCCAGACCGTCGACCTTGGCGAACCATGGGTGTTCGAGCGCGGCGGCTGCCGTCAGCCTCTTGTCGGGATTGCATGTGAGCAGGCCACTGAGGACCTCGAATCCATCCCTGGACAGCTTCGTCTCGGGGAACAGATCGCGCAGGAGGTTGTACCGCTGCATGTCCAGCTCCGGCACCACCTCGGTGGCGAATGGTGTCGACGAGAACCACGGCCACGTGCTGTCATCAGGAACGCCGAGCACATCGAAGATCGCGCAGAGCTGTCCGTCGTCGTGGGATCCTTGGAATAGAGGTGTGCCGTTGTTGACGAGCTCCGCCATGACGCAGCCAAGCGACCAGACGTCGACCTTGGCGTCGTAGTCGGGCTTCTCCAGCAGCATCTCGGGCGCCTGGTACCACAGCGTGCCGGCCGGCTCATACGGGGGCCGCTCGTCCGTGGATATGGCTAGCCCAAAGTCGCAGATCTTCACGATGCTCTGGCTCTCGTCGACGAGGATGTTCTGGGGCTTGATGTCGCGGTGGATGATGTGGGCGTCGTGCATCTTCTTGGCGCCCGAAAGTAGCTGCCACATGGCGGCGCGCACGTTGGCCTCGGGCAGCGGCGGGCTCCCGCGGGGGCGTTGGCGGAGGAGGTCGTGGAGGCTGCTCGCCACGCACTCCATAATGAGGCACATCTGCCAGGTGACCGGGTCGCGGACGACGCCGTGGAAGCCGACGACGAATGGGTTGGCGCCGCCGCAGCACGCGTCCTCGAGGAAGCGCGCCTCGCGTAGCAGAGTAGCGTGGCCGCCGTCGGCCGTGCTGTGGCGCTTCATGGCGACGCTCTGGCCCGTGGCGCGGTGGCGGGCCTTGAAGACGGCGCCGAAGGCACCCGCGCCGAGGCGGCTGGTCTCGTCGAACTCATACAGCTCCGTGCTCCCGACGGCGATGCGCTTCCTCTTCAGGCCGGTCTTTGCCGCGGCGGTGCGGCGGACGGCGGCGGCGGGCTCTACGCAGGCATCCATCACGAGTGAAGCAGGGCGACGACGACGGCGGATTGCGATGCGTGCCCTAGGCAGGGGACGTCGGATTGTGCGAGGCGAGGAGAAGAGGTCCACGACGTAACGTCGGTGACGGTGACGGTGACGGATGTGCGTATTGCGCGAGAAAGGGCGATACTTATAACACGAACGCGTAAGTGTCAAGCAAGCTGAGTTTCCCGCAATTCAGAGCATCGCCGAGTCCGACTGCGTGTCACTGATCACGTCTGTTCCACATGAACACAACGGGGCTCCTCACCGTATGCACGTCGTTCTCCCACACGATCTGGCCGAACAGCGCCATCCCCGCCGCGCCAGGTGCGCTCGGCGTCCTGTACTTGTTCCTGAACAAGACGGTGTAGCTCTTCTTTTCGTACGGCTCGCCGCCGAACTCCAGCGTAGCCGGCGTCACGGTCACCTCCACGAGCTGGCGCGGCGCCACCACCTTCACGGCGTAGGTCTCGGGACCCTCCGAAACCTTGGTCACGGTGCGCGACAGCACGCGGATGTCGGTGCCGTTGCTCAGGTCCGCGACGAACGACGGGTAGTTGAGGCCGCCTATGCCGCCGGGGAGCGTCCTCGTGCAGCCGGCGAAGCCCGGCACGAACATCCGGACCTGCGCCGCGGTGTAGTTGAGCGTGCACAGGAAGTCGACGTAGTCCCGCTCCGCGACGTCGTAGACCAGGCCCGGGTCGAGCGCCTGCTGCGGACGGACGAGGCCGGCTCCGGCCGCCAACGGCGTCGCGCCATCGCTGGCGCCACCTCTGCGGCCGTTGTCCGCGATGGGCCTGCCGTGGTTGTCGAGCGTTGTCGCGGTTGTCATCAGCGCCGACCGGATCATGGCCGGTGTCCAGCCGGGGTGCCTGTGCTTCAGCAGAGCCGCGGCGCCGGCGACGTGCGGGCACGACATGGAGGTGCCCGACTGGATGTTGAAGCGTGCGCGCCTCGGGTCCTCCTCGGCGTACGTCAGGGGCGACTCGCCGGGCCAGGCGGCGAGGATGTTGGTGCCTGGCGCGATCACGTCCGGCTTGAGGATCTCGCGGGTGACGTGGTTGGGGCCCCGCGACGAGAAGGACGACACCATCGGCGCCGGGTTCTCGCCGATGACCGTGCGGCAGGTGAAGCGGAACGATGCCACCGGGTAAGGCTCCGAGCGGACGTACGCCGCCAGCTTGTCGGCTTCGCGGGCGCCGAGGCTGACAGCAGGAAGGGTGAACGCCTGGACTACGAGCCCGTCCATACGCCAATCCTGGATGGCGACGGAGACTAGCCCGCTGCCACCGGCCTTCTGCACCGCAGCGCCGAGTGATGCATCAGCGCCCAAATCGCCAGCGCACACGACGATCTTGCCCATAATCCTGTCCGGCACCAGGTCCTTGTCTGTGCAGGCGCTGGGCAACAGCCGGATGAAGTCTGTTCGGTTGGCCGTGACGGCGTAGAGAGATTGCCCAGTTAGAATCTGGCCGTTCCCGAGCGTGACGCTCGCCGGGAACACCCGGTCCATGGTGGCAGCGCCGACCGTCGTGATCCACGGCGCCACGTTGCTCAGCGAGGATGCTTCCGGGCCAGAGTTGCCGGCTGAGCAGGCGACGAAGACGCCCGCCCGCACGGCCCCAAACAAGGCGATGGACATGGGTTCCTTGTAGAAGTCGTGGTCCTGGCTCCCAAGGGACAAGGACAGGATGTCGACGCCATCTTTGACGGCGGCGTCGACCGCCGCGGCGATGCCCGACATGCTGCAGAAGCCCATCGGCCCGCACGCCTTGTACATGGCCACCCTCGCCTTGGGAGCCACCCCCCTCGCTGTCCCGCTCGCGAACTCGAAGAGCTTGGCGCCGGGAACCTCGGAGCCGGCGGCCGTCGATGCCACGTGTGTGCCGTGCCCGTCCTTGTCCCTTGGGGACTGGAAATCGTGGGCCTCGTTTCTTCCCGGCAACCATTCCGTGTGCGTGCCGGCGCCGGCGGTGAAGGTCCTGGCGCCCACTAGCTTGTTGTTGCACATGCTAGCGTTGAACCGCTCGCCGTTGGCGCACCAGCCCTTCCAGCTCGGCCGGACGGGGGTGAGCCCGATGTCGTTGAAGCTGGCGCTTTCCGGCCAGATGCCGCTGTCGACGAAGCCAATGATGATGCCGTCGCCGAAGTCCGTGTCCGGCCAGATGCCAGAGTCCTTGTCGAGGCCGAGGAAGGCCGGGGACCTGGTAGTGTGCAGATGCACCGCCTTGTCCTTGAACACGCCGGTCACGCCCGGAGTGTTCGACACGCGCCGGGCCTCGTCGACGGTGAGCTCGGCGGCGAAGCCGTGCATCACGGTGTCGTACACGTACAAGAAGTGGGTGGAGTTGGCGGCCGGGGAGAGGGAGCCCACCATGGAGGTGTACCAGTGCTCGAGGGTGGTGAAGTTGGACGGCTTGGCGACGTGGTCGGCGTAAACGATGTAGGCGCTGGAATGCTGAGGATTGTGCTCATGACGGCCGCCTCTGCTCGTACTGCTCGACAGCGAGATGGCTACTGAGCGAGCGAGCAGCGCAAGCAGAAGCCAAAAGGTCAAGCAATGCAGGGGACTGAATGTCATGGACGCCGCCATTGTTGATGTGGCAGAGGCTCGACTCGGGCCGAAATGCGCATGGAACTAGGGATGCCTGGTTCTCTTTATAGCACGGCACAGCACCGGAGCAGTCCTCAAATAATATTCCCTCCGAAAAAAAAAGAATCCGTAGGTGTTTTGAGGCCCCAAAACACCCTGTTTCTGAACCGTTGATCTGGTCATCCAAAAGCTCATAGCTCTATTCTTTCTCCTTCACATCTTCTCCCTCCTCCCGACACCCCGTCCATCGCCGTCGAGCACCCCGCCATTCTCCTCCTCGTCGCCCCCGCCGCCGACCATAGCCTCGCTGCGGGCGCTAGGGTTCGTTGGAGCTCTGGCGCGCTAGGGCCGCGCCCACGGCGGTCGCTTTCTTCTCCTCCCCCCTCTCGTCGGAGCTCCGCCATGGCCATGCTCGCAGGCGACGCCGAGCTCCGAGCTTCGTCATGGCGTCCCCGCACCGACCTGGCCTGGCCGCGCACTACCATTGCCAGGGCCCCTGAACCGCCCCGCCACCATCTCCACTGCCTGGCCTGCCTGCCTCCCCCAGGCCGGCCCCATCTATACCTGCCGGAGTTGGAGAAGAAAGAGGGGGAGAGGCTCGCCGGAACCCTAGCCATCGCGGCGGGGCTAGGGAAGAATACGGCAAGCACAGATCCAGGAGCATGAGGAGGAGGATGAGGGACCGGCCTACCTCGTCGGCGCCGCCGCCGCCGGAGGGGAGAGAGGGTTGCGCCGCGTGGGGAGGAGCGCCGAGCGCGTGCACGCCGGGGAGGAGGGAGTCGTGTGCGGGTCAGGGAGGAGGAAGTCGGGTGTTGGAGAGGGATAAAACACCCGGTTGGTGTTTAGCATTACTAAAAAAGAATGTTATTCGATAAATTAATCAATTTCAAATTTAACTAGATCTTTATAAAAAAGCACTAACATTGACAATGCCAAATAAATATTATTAAATTAATCATAGAATTTTTTTTTATTAAACCTATTTATAAATATATATTTTCTATAAACTCTGTTAAAAAAATTAAACTTAATTCAAACCTAGGATTACATTTTATAGGGCAGAGGCAGTATCTAGAAGGTAACTGAGAGAATAATTTTTAAGATAAACAAGGTGTAGTTTTAGATAGCAAGAAAGTGGGTAAAATGACAAAGTAACTCCATGTGAATGACGTGTTGACATTGCTAAAATATGATCACATACATCTTATATTCTTATCGACGTTCCCTCTCCTTCCAATCCTCCGCAGCTCTGTGACTCTGTCACCTGACGCGCTTCTCTGAATCAATTTCTACTCTTACGAAGAGTACATATATAGCTTTGGCATGACATCTAAATCAGGTGATGCCAACTCTTACGAAGAGAAGAAGTTATTCTTAGCTGGACGCGGTACCGGAGAGTAGCAACTCTGAAGATAAAAATATCTCGGTTTAGAAGAAAGGGAGGCTTTATCGGAGGCTAGGCCATGCACATCGTGGCACTTGCATCCATCCAGCCATCCAGCAAAGTGTCCACATTCTGTTGTGATCTCTGCACTAGCAGGAACTAACGTGTACAGTAGCGTGCTAATCAGGCTTGTTTAAATCCAGTGTAAAGTTTTGGAGTGTCATATCAGGTGTCACATAGAGGTGTCGCGGTGTTCGGATACTAATAACAAAACAAATTACAGAATCCGTCAGTTATCTGTGAGACGAATTTATTAAGCCTAATTAGTCTATGATTTGACAATGTGGTGCTACCGTAAACAATGTGTTAATGATGGATTAATTAGGTTTAATAAATTTGTCTCGCGGATTACTGATGCCTTTTATAATTTATTTTATTATTACTATTCGAACACTCCCACGTGACATTCCAATGTAACACCCGATATGATATCCTTAAACTTTACTTTCTGAATTTAAACACCACCCTAGCAAGGAGTTAGAAGTTGTTCATGATAGAAGGCATGGATTCCTAGTGGTCTACTAGAAGTGAGACTTGGTCTACTAGTAGCGTGACAAGCCTTTGCTTTGGCAGCATATATTTTGGTCGCCAAGTATTTCGAAAGGAGCGAGAGCCGTCGCTGTAGCTCACAGAATCACAGCAGTGAACAATTAGAGAGTAACGTAGAGTGAGAAGGTAGAGGAGCTGGAGCCACCTACGACCCACGGACCCAACCTAACCAAACGAGCGAACCCGAAATATACTGCACTTGCAAACCATAGCTGATTCGATTACGAGTGTGGTTGATTCTCCGGCGATGCTAAAGTACCGTTAGCTAATTTATGATGAAAAAAATATTATTTATTGACTGAAAAATATGGTTTATAAACTAGTTGGATACGGCGATGTATTTGCCTATTTGGGCTGGGTTGTTGGGTAGTCAGAGGCTCAGAGCTTATTACCTTTCTCTGCAGCAAGGCCCTTTCAGGCGCCTGTCGTGAGTACGTGCGCCATGTGGTGACCCACGAGAGGTCTGTCTACTCTGCTACATCTGCAACCTCCTCCAGCACACAGAAACGCACAGGACTGACGCGTTCGCGTTTCCATTTCTAACCTTCGATCCAACGCGGCACGAAGCACAGCTGCACGGCTCCAACAAACGATGACGAATCCCGCAAAAACCCGTGTTAAGTGGTGTTCGTATCCGGTGACTAAAATTTAGGAGGTGTATCGAAAGGATGTTGTATGGGGTGTTTAGATACTAATAAAAAATAAATTATATAATCCGTCAATACTCCACGAAACGAATTTTTAAGCCTAATTAATCCACCATTAGCACATGTTTAATTTAGTACTACATTATCAAATCATAGACTAATTAGGCTTACAAGATTCATCTCCTAAATTAGTTATAAACTATGCAATTAGTTTCGTAATTAATTTATATTTAATACTCCATACATGTGTCCAAATATTTAACGAAACAACGACTAAAATTTAGGAGGACAACCAAACACCACCTTAGCCGAGGACGCAACATCGATCACAGGATAAACTTTAACCAGTTACTAATCACACGTGTAAAATTAGGTTCCATGATGTTTCAGGGATATGCATTTATTTAGGGAGAGCAAGAGATTGTTGGGACGACTGACGTGGCCTAGCATCGTGCTGCTTGATCCTCCGACGTCTGGTTCAAAAGCATGCGTCGGTGTTCCTCCTTCCGGGTGAGAATCTCCAGGACCACGCAGGACTCGGCCAGGGGTGTTTTGATCCAGTTTAGCTCCTGTATGTTCGGATACTAATTAGAAAGATTAAACTTGAACTAATTATAAAACATAATTGCACAGATGCATACTAATTTGTAAGACGAACGTATTAAGTTTAATTAACCCATTATTAGCACATGCTTATTGTATCACTACATTGTCAAATCATGAATTAATTAGGTTTGATAGATTCGTCTCGTAAATTAGTCTACGTCTGTATAATTAATTTTGTAATTAGTCTATATTTAGGGCCTGTTTGGGACTACTCTACTCCACCTTTTTCAGCTCTGCTCCACCAACTCCACCACAGAGCAGCTCCACTGTGGAGTTTCTGGAGCAAGTGGACCTGTTTGGCACGCAGTTTAGCTCTAGCTCCGGAAACATGAGGTTTTTATAGGAAAGGTCTACTATGCCTCTGATCGATGTTTGATGTATGTTCTGTTGTATGCAGACCATGTGTAATTGAATATTTTTTTACCAATTCAAATATGGTGTACATATTATAATCTCGGATACAAATAATTGTCCATATTTCGGATACAAATAATTGTCCATACATGACTACTGATAAATAAGATAACAAAGTCCATCATTCTAATAGAAATAGTTGTCCATAGATAACTAAAGAATAGTGACTAATACATAATTCTAATTCCAAGCTAGAGAAAGAGCGGTGGCCAAGTCATCACGGAATTTGTCCATAGTAGGAGCATTCGGTGCATCAGTAGAGCCATTTGATCTAGCCATATATTTGAAGTACCTTTCCGGAATCTCTAGAACATAATTTGGATCACGGTCACACCGAGCGAAGTCCAAGTCTTCACCACCATGCTCACGAATGAGGTTGTGAAGGACCATAGTAGCCACAACAATCATTTTTTGCTTGAACATCGGGTAGGACGCCATTTTATATAGAATCTGCCATTTCATTTTTAGCACTCCAAATGATCGCTCAATAACATTGCGGATGGATGAGTGAACACGATTGAATCTTTCTTTAGGAGTCTTTGGTTCCATTCCTCTATGCCACTCCGGCATATGATACCTCTCACCTTTATAAGGACAAAGATATCCCGGACGATTAGGATATCCCGCATCGACAACATAATATTTGCCTATAATTATTAGAAACAAAATATCAGATCACATTTTTAAGCATTTGGTCAAACAATGAAGTGCATGGTCATGTTTTTAATACCTTTTGGAGGGTGTGGAAAAAAGCTCTCGTCCACTCTAATTGCATTGTACAGGACACTAGTATCATGCATAGAGCCCGACTGTCCCGTCGACACCTAAGTGAACCTCATATCAAAGTCACAACTTGCTAGAACGTTTTGAGTAGGTATACCAGACTTTCCAATATATCTTACTTGATCGTCAGGTGGCAACGAAACTCGGATATGAGTACCATTTAGAGCACCAATGCAATCTTTGAAATGTGGATATGCTCTACGGTCATCTCTTATCCTCCTGTGAACAGATCGGAAGTTGGGGTCCTTTGGTCTAATAAAATCTCTAGACATATCCAAGCATTCAGTACCTCATCAAATTTCCTATGAATAGTTTCACCCGAGTGCTTGAACCGGTTTTGTGCTTTTCTATTAGATTCATTTCCAGATAACACAAATAAGAACACTGCCAACATCTCCTGAGTGTTTATATGTAGGGATGGTTTAAGACCATACCTTCCAACCAATAAATCATGAAGGTCGTAGAACATCTGTGTGCTCAACCGAAGCTGCGAATGACATTCTCCCGGAATATCCTGCAAAAACAGTGTCATGGTAATTAGAAGGGATGTGATTCTG